AATCAAGGCAGCAAAATGCAGTGTGAGCACTTGAGGGAGCGAATGGAGGAGTCTAAGGGGTCTGGAAAAGCTCCAGCTTCCCTCAACACCTGGGCTGGCCCCCCTCGGTGTGTACTTTACCTCTTGCTGGGCAGGGATACGATGTTCCCAGCTCTTGGCAGCTTTTCCCCTGCTGGCTGTGATAAACCAAACCCTTCCTGCGTCCCCAGCCCTCTGTCCTGCGAGGTCGCCCGGTGTCAGGCGGTCAGAGGCTCTTTGTCCTGTCCTTGGGTAGCATCTCCTGCCCTTAAGAACTCAACGCTGCAAATACTCTTAGATGATGATTAATGAGCGCTTATATAACTGAACTGAGTCCTTAATGCAGACGGGAGGGTGACAGGAGGGAAGGTGGGAGCAATAAACAGCACAGAGCTGCTGCTGCTGCTTTTCCCACACCAGAGCAGCTGCGTTCTGTGCAGGGGGACCCTGGCAGATGTGGGAGAGGGGCCACCCATGGGGAAGCAGCTTGGGCAGCTCCCATCTGGGTTTTCCAGGCAGTTTTGGATCCTGGGAGTGAACCACGTTGCCCATGGCATGGCTGGGCTGTCCGGTGTGGCAGAGCTGGGAGGTGAAGGGTTTATGTTGGAAAAGCATTCATGTGTGACAGTGGCTGGAATGTTGTGCTGGTGAGCTGGGAGTGCTGGAGGAAAAGGGCAAAAATCCCACGGTAACAGTTTCGTGTGAGCTGTGGGGGTGATGAGGCCGCTGCTGGAGATGCTGGGTGCAGTTGTTTCTAAATTTGGCCGTGTTTGGGCAGGTAGGGACAGTCTGACACACAAGATTTGCTTTTCCATAATCTGGCTGGGAAGCACCAGCCCTGATAAAGCTGCTGCTCAGCGCCAAGGCAGCTACACGGTTGCCATGGTTACCACATGCTTATTTTCACCATCTTCCTCACCTCAGCCGGGGTGCCCCGGCATTCCCAACCCTGGATCCCCCCTGACCTCAATCGGGGTGCACTGGCATTCCCAGCTCTGAATTTCCCCGGATTACAGCTGGGTGCTCCAATATCTCCAGTTCTGAATCGCCCCGGACCTCAGCTCATTTCCTAATATTCCAATTTGGATTTCCTGATGCTACCTCAGGGCAACTCGAGCCCTGATCTCTTGCACCTTTTTGCTGTGGATCCCATCCTGTTTTTCCCTGTGGATCCAATCTTTCTGCTCTCTGTGGATCCGATCCTCCCGCTCCCTGTGGATCCAATCCTGCTCTCCGTGGATCTGATCCCTGCGGATCCTGTCCCCCCCTGCTCCCGGTGGCTTCGTCCTCCAGCCCGGTAAATCCCGGTCACAGGGAAGCGCTCCTCACCATGGAAACAGCGGCATTGCGTCAGGGCTTTTCTTTCCAACTGCAAAGCTGGATGAGCAACTCCCTCGGGGACAGGAGTAAGGGAGAAGGGAATATTCTTTTCCCTGGGGCGCTTTGGGACTGCCAGTTCCCTAATCCAGCCCTGGTTTGGTGTTTGCTCGAGGGTCTAAGGCTGCCATGGGCAAAACACGGTGGGGACAGCGAGGGTTCCCATGGCAGGGACAACGAGGGGACACTGAGGGCTCCGTGTCCCTTCCCTGCTCCTGGTATAAGATGATCTTGCAGGGAAAACCAGGAAGGAGCCTTGGTGTAGGATGGGGTGGAGGCTCAGCCATGAGCTCTGCTCCAGCCCGGCCCCACATTCCCTCCTTTCCTGCAATCCCAGCAAAAACAAAGGCAGGGGAGGCGGCTCTTGCGCCCTGCAGGATGTGCTGGGGCGTGCAGAGCTGTGCCTGGAGCAGGGGGGACGCTCCCAGGGGCTTTGCCAGGCTCTGGAGCAGGAATGCAGGTGGAAGGGGGGGTGCCTGGGGGGCTTTGTTCGCTCCCAGCCCCGGGTAAGGCACAGCACCACAAGAGAAGGAGATGTGGCACCCAGTGCCCCGGGTAAGGCACAGCACCAGAGGAGGAGGAGATGTGGCACCCACTGCCCCGTCCTCCCCTCCTCTGAGCGCTCCCATCCCCAGCCCTGACCCGGAGGAGCTGCTCGGTGATTTGGGCACCTCATCAGAGCAGTGCCCACGGCGGGGGCTGCCCTTGGCTTCCCACAAGGTGCCGGGGCTGCCGAGCAGGTTTGGGCTCAGCTGCTGCGAGGCTCTGGGCAATTCCGTGTGTGCCATGAGTGCAGGGGTTGGGAAAGGTCCCCACAAACAGCACAGCAAGGTGGGCACCCCCAGAGAAGGCCGAGCTGGGCGGGTGTGGGATGTGCTGGAGGCAGGAGAGAGGCTCATGTTGATGTGGGAATGGCACGGGGTGAAGGCAGGAATCCTCCTGTCACTTTCCATGCAGAACTTCCAGGAAATCATTAACAGGATGTTTGGTCCTACAACCTCTGCCCTTGGAAGCTGTAAAAAAATAGGTGATAAAAACATCAGTCATGTGTGAGGGGATTGCTTGAATGAGCTCCAGGTGATCCCTGAGCTCCCTCCAGCCTCTGGTGATTCACCATTTCCCATGGCTGCACCTGTGCACACAAACAGCTCCGCTCCAGAGCGGATATTTGCACTCCCTGAGGAAGTGCTGGCACTTTTGCCAAACTGGGTCACTCAGCCCTGCTCACAGCCACATCCAGGTGACCGAAATTAGGGCTCAGCCAGGGAAAACACCCATGGGTGCTCAGGGATGGAAATCACACAGGAGTGAATTCTGCTACGTGGTGTTGCCTGCTTGGGACCCCTGGCCAGGTTCCTTGTGCTGCAGGAGGCGAATCTTGGGCTGTTTAGTGCTTAATTAACTGCCCTAATGAGTGGTGCAAGCTGCCTGCCTGGCTGCTCCCAGCCTGTGGAACAGGCAGGGATGTCCCTGAGCCCCTTGGGCTGGTGACACGGGGCAGCTGCAGCCCCTGTGTGCAGCCTGATCATGGAATATCCTCGAGGATTGTCAAATTTGGCACTTTTGCCAGACTGGGTCACTCAGCCCTGCTCACAGCCACATCCAGGTGACCGAAATTAGGGCTCAGCCAGGGAAAACACCCATGGGTGCTCAGTCTGGAACTCACACAGGAGTGAATTCTGCGTCTCCTACGTGGTGTTGCCTGTTTGGGACCCCTGGCCAGGTTCCTTGTGCTGCAAGAGATTAATCTTGGGCTGTTTAGTGCTTAATTAACTGCCCTAATGAGTGGTGCAAGCTGCCTGCCTGGCTTGACAGGCAGGGATGTCCCTGAGTCCCTTGGGCTGATGACAGAGGAGCAGCCCCTGTGTGCAGCCTGATCGTGGAATATCCACGAGGATTGTCAAATCCACAGCTGATGCCTGCCCTGAGTGATCTGGAGCATGTCCATTATCTCAGGCTGGAAAATGGCTCTCTGTGCATCAAGGTCACTTTATCCACCCTCATCACAGACCAGAAACGCTCACGTTAATGGGCCTCTAATTTAATCAAAATGCTGTGCCTGTGATTGCAGGGCTGGAATCTTTTCCTCTCTTGAAGGGCAAAAATCAATTTGCACTAACAGCAGACGGGTCTGCTCCCTCCTCCCGGCCTAGGAAAGTGAGTAAAATTTTTTCATAGTAGGAAAATAATAATATTGGCCTGGTGTGTCATCAATATTGGGTGTTTTTATGTGCTTTTGAGCACTTTGGTGGCAGCATTCTGTCCCTGTGGCCCTGTGAGTTCAGAAAAATCACAGATGTGGTGTGCCCCTGGGTTTCGTAATTACTGTATTACCCATGTACAAACTGCCCTTTTCCTGCAGATCCCAAAGGGATCACAACAAACCAGGGAGGAAAAGCCTGATTTCCACACTCTGGGAGGCAGGGAATAGGTGATCACTGCTCAAATGAGCAATTGTGGGCAGGTTTCTTTGCATCTCCCCATGGCTTGTTTTTCCTCTGTCTCAGTGCCTGGTGTGGAAATTGGTCACCAAATAGTGATTTCTATACTCTGGTGATTTTCTGCTGTGCAGCCTGGCTCAGACTGGAAATACTGGGAAGGAAGGACGGGAGGAAGAAGGAAGGACGGTGGCCAGTGGCTGCAAACTCCGTCTGCAAAGTGCAACGTGGATTACAAGGGAATTTCTGGAGGCACAGCAAAGGTGTCTGGTCCTGCCTGGGACAGGGACACACAGACAGAGTGACCCTGATGTGTCCAGTCCTGTCCTGGACACAGGACACACACAGTGACAGCCTTGCCATGTTTCCTTCCCGTTTTTGAGGCCTTTCAAAGCCATGTAGCCCCTCAATGAGACGCGTCTTTGGCTTTGCCAGTTTTCTCTTTTAACACAAAATTTTTAGTGCTGAAATCATTCTCACCTTTGTCAAACCTCAGGATGTGCTTTTAAAGATTTCAATCTTTGAGAATAGAGGTTTGATGAAAGACTTTTATTTTTAAAGAAAACTTTATTGCTTTAACTACTTCTCACCATCATCTCCCAAGTGCATATACAACACTGCAAGAAGGGATCATTCCCCACGGGACAGAGAGGAGGGCAGCCAGTTCGCGGGGTCAGGACGGGTTTCCCGAGCGGGACGGTGACCGGACGGGCCGCAGCGGGAGGAGCCGCCGGAGCCCGGCCGGGGGCAACGCTCGGTGCCCAAGATGGCGGCGGCCCCTGAGGGGGCCCTTTGTCTGCGGCCGCCGCCGCAGTGCGAGAAGGGCGCGAAACTGGGCCAGCCTGGACACGCCCTCTTAGCCAGAGGGGCGGGGCGGCCGCCCCCCCCGCCCAATCAGCGCCCTCCACTTCCTTCCCTCTCACAGGGGCGCCCCCGCCCGCCTCCGCGCGCGCAGCCAATGGGAGCCGTCCGTCGTGGCCCGCCCCCGCTTGGGTGGAGGGGGCGGGGCCACGCAGTGGTTTTGTTTGCGCGCCCCTACTATCGCCCCCGCCGTGGTTCATTAATATTAATGAAGTCCCGCCCAATCAGGTGGGGCAGCGGCGGCAGCGCTTTGGTGACGTGTCGCCCCTCCTTGCGGCGGGGTTCATCTGCATATTCATAAGATAGGCGGGATGAGGCGCGGGCATTTATAAGGCGCCGCCCCGCCAGGCTCGCCGTACATTTCGCTGAAGCTTTGAAGTGTTGTGTGGACCTCGCGCCGCCCGGCTATCGGTGAGCGCAGTCGCGCGGGGCGGCCGCGACCGCACCGGGCCGGGTGGTCCGCAGTGAGCGGAGCCGTGTCCCAGGGGCAGAGGGTCGGGTCCCGCGGGAGGCTAGGCCGCGGCTCCGGACCCACCGATCGGTGCCTTCTGCGGGCACGGGGGACACGGCGGAGCGGGCCGGTCTGGGCCGAGTGGGGGACGGGGCCGCGGCGGGCGGAAAGGCGTGCGCGGAAACAAAATGGCGACGGGCCTCGGCCGTGCAAAATGGCGGGCGGGAGGGAGGGGGCGGCGGGCGGCGCTGCCCAGGGAAAGCCGGTAGGGGGCGATGCGGGTGCGCATGCGCGCTGGGCACGGAGGGGCCGGTACGGGGGGTCCCACCGGGGGTTGGCGGGACCCGACCCGGCCGCGGGTTCTACCGGGGCCCGGTCCCGATGCTGCTCCCCTGGCCTTGGCCCTGAGCCTTGCGGAGCGCAGCTAGGCCCTCGCTCCCGCCCTCCCTGAGGGAGACCCCTTGTAAGGCTGGAGGACCGCATAAGGCGTCCGGCAGTGTGAGATCACATCGGTGTTGTTATAGGTGGTGTTGGAAAGATTTATTGTTTCAGATTTCCGGGGGTTGTGTGGGTTTTTTGAGTCGCTGACTCGGTTCTGTTGGTTTGGCAGGTCAGAATGGCGTCAGATGAGGGAAAGCTCTTTGTCGGCGGGCTCAGTTTCGACACGAATGAGCAGTCATTGGAGCAAGTCTTCTCTAAATACGGACAGATTTCTGAAGGTGAGACTGCAGAGCCACGATGGGAGATAGTTTCCCTAAGTCTGTTAAATTTCCCTGGCGCTGATGGGTTTTTATTTCCTGTCTGTCCTTTTTACAGTCGTGGTGGTGAAAGACAGAGAGACTCAGAGATCCAGAGGTTTTGGCTTTGTTACTTTTGAAAATATCGATGATGCAAAAGATGCAATGATGGCCATGAACGGAAAGGTGAGGAGGCCTTGGAGTTGATTCTTTATTTCCCATAGTGCAGGAGGAGAATCAGAGGTGTGTGCTGCCGTTCAGGCTGTGTGAAAAAATAGATTAATGCTAGTATCTTAGATGAGATTATATGGGTGTATATGGGAAAAATTTGGCTATATGAGTTAATATGTAAAAGACCATACATATATGTGTGTATATATATGTACTAGGAACAAAACTAAAAAGTTCCATTGTGGGGTCTGGATGACTAAGATATGACTTCATAAGCACTCCTGTATATAATATATAATATTGTAATAAACTATAGAATATTATAATAATATTCCTTAATATATCAGTTTTTTTGCTTACTTGATTTAATTGTGGCATGAAAGATGTTTATTTATTTCATGAGCAGCGAGTCCTGGCACTGCTCAGCCAACTTAGAAGGCATGCAACTTGTTCTACATGTGCTTTCTATTTAATTATTCCAGTTTGGCTAACTGTGGTTGTGTTCTAGTCTGTAGATGGGCGTCAGATCCGAGTTGACCAGGCTGGGAAGTCCTCAGAGAACAGATCCCGTGGCTACAGAGGGGGGTCCTCGGGGGGCCGGGGCTTCTTCCGCGGGGGCCGAGGCCGGGGCCGTGGCTTCTCCAGAGGTGAGTTCATAGGGGTCACTCATAATGTCTGCATGGGGGGTGTCACTTGTCAGAATAGTTAAAAAACCTAATTTCCGTGTATTTCCAAGGAGGTGGAGACAGAGGCTATGGCGGCAGCAGATTTGATTCCAGAAGCGGAGGCTATAACGGCTCCAGAGACTACTATAATAGCAGGTAAGGGCTCTGCCAGCACCAGGGATGGTGGGGAAGCTGTGGTGGGGCTCAAAGCAGGAAAGAAGGATTTGAGCAGCTGTAAAGCAAGTTTTGTTTGTCCTGCAGGAGTCAAGGTGGCTATGGAGACAGGAACTCAGGAGGCTCCTACAGAGACAGCTACGACAGTTACGGTAAGTCGCGCTTCGAGCGGGAGCGCTGAGTCCGTGTGCTGTAGGAGCTCTGAACCTGCTGAGCCCGAGCCTGCAGCTGGGGCAGGCTCAGGCTGTGGACGTGTGGTGGTGCCGGGAGATTCTAATTTAATGCATGTGCAGGAGTTGCTCGGATCTAAGGCAAAGCAAGTGTTAAAAAAAAAAAAAAAAAAGAAAAGGTGTTCCTGGAGCCCAAACTCGGCTGCCCTAACGCACTGACCCGCGGGTGGGGGATCTCAGTAGCCAAGTAGCCGTAGCCTTGGAATAATGCAAAGGGAGTAAAATGCTGGAACTTGTCTTTGCTTCAGTGCCTTTACAATTGTGCCTGCTTCTTGTCCTCAGCTACACACAACGAGTAAAAATCCTTCCTGACTCAAGATCGTCCTTCCAATGGCTGTATTTATAAAGATTTTTGGAGCTTCGCTGAAATGGTTATTGTGTAGTACATCTACTTGTATTTTCACTTTTGTAGTATTATCAGTTCTGATCTTGTCATACACAGCCTGGCAGCTTCTGAGACAAGACTGTCTGATTAGACTGTCTTGGAGAAAGCTCTGCTTTCAAGTGGTTTTAATCTTTTTTGAAAGCACTTCAGATTTTATTTTGTCCTCCATGAATGAGCCAAGGTGTTCGTTTTTGGTTGGTTTTTTTTTTAAGTTGGGGCCCCAATTCAGTTTCTTTTGAGCTAGCAAGGACCTTGTACCAATGTTCACTAGAAGCTGAACAAGCTGTGGACTTTTTTTCTTCCTTTTTTTTTTTTTTTTTTCCAAGTGCATTACCTTCGTCTTTTGTAACATTCCTTTAGTGTAGCAAGGTAGGAATGCAGCTTGGGTTCCGTTGGAAGGCAAACCACCTTGATATATCTAAAGAGAAACGTGCTTGTATGTTCAACCCGCATAACGGTATTTTTACTGTTGTAATGATGTAAATGACCCAGAACTAGACTTGCAAACCATAAAGAGGTTCTTGAAAATGTTTATTTATATTGTCCTTTTTTACTGGAAGAAATATGCATATTCCATTGCTGTTGTATTTGAAGTGGTAAAGGATTCCTGTATACAGTTTTCTTTGGCTTTACGAAGCCTATTAAAAGACCGTCTGAAATGAACTCTGCTCCTGACATTTACATTTCATTGCACAACACAACCCTTGGAGACGAAGAACAGTCTTGGGAGCGAGAGGAGGAGATTAGGGACAGTGGCAGAGCTGGCCGGACGATTGCCCAGACGTGCTGGAATTTAAATCCTAAAATCGGTCTTGACATCTGAATTGGCCAAGAAATTTCACATAACGTAGTCAAACCTTGTCTGTAGAGGCTGGAAGTACAAACTGAGGGCGTGCTAGGAGCGAAGTGCAGTTGGCATGTTAGGAAGGATGATGGATGTGTCCTGCAAAGCTGCTGTAGGTTACACTGGGAAGCTGTAGAGAAGAGCCAAGTGCTGTAGTCCCTGGGCTGTTCCCTGCGTGCCGAGCGCGTGTGCGATGTAGGGGAATGCCGGGCTTAGCTTAGCTGTGTCATTGCTTACAAGTTCTAAGAATTCTTTGCTAGCAAATGGAAACTGCAGTGTCCTTGGAGAAAAGAAGTGTTGTGCCTCCAACAGAAACCTCTGAGACGAGAGCTGCTCTCTTGGCTAGTTCATATGTGGAAATAGTCCTGTAATTCGAGGTAACTCCTTTTGCTCATGTCCGCATCCTTCCTCTTGTTGAGAGCTCATTTGAAAGTCTAATGTACCTGTGAAATATTCCTTTTGACAATTTTGGTCAGCTGCTGGAAAAACGTTAACCCATGCCGTATGCAACCTTTGGCTTGTGGCACACCTTGAGTTCCACAGATCAGAGTTGGGCATGCAGCCGTGTCTTGCTGTAGGTACGGAAGCAAGATTGGAACGAACTCCCTGACTCGATATGTGTTCATCTATTGAGACTCTTCCTAGACTTCATTAAGTTGCTCACTTTAATTGTAGCTTTCTTTGCCATCCTACTTGTTGCCATTAACTTTTTCCCATGGCCCACACTTCCTAAGCAGCCATGTCCAAGTGTTAACTCTCTGCTTAGGGGGATCCAATCCATGGGCTGGCTGAGCACGGGCAGCAGCCGGCCCGGAACAGTTTTTCCCAGACTGTGCTTTGTGGTGTGATGGGTTCAGCGATGGCTTGTGAGACCCTCGTGCGCTGTGAGCTGTGTGGGGAGGTTGGGGGCAAGAGCAGCCTCTGCCCTGGGCTCTCTGTTAATGCCTCTCTGCTTTAGCAGGCTGAAGGGACCCGGCACACGCCTCGGAGGCCCAGCGGATCCTGAGCGACCAGAGCTGCGTTCCAGGGATGCTGCAGCAAGTTTGCCAACCAGGTAACATCCCTCTCCTGAGGTTTTTTTTTTGTCTGTTTCCCTCTTCCATATCCCTCTTCCATTCCTTTATCCACCTTCTAATTCTCTTGTGTCCATTCTGTTTCAGCACTGAGACACGTCAGAGAAGACAGAAGGACAGGCGCTGGAGTGGGGAGATGAAGAGCTCAAAGCAGTGGTGTTGTCATTTTTTACATGAACCAGATCAGTCAAGACAGAATAAAACACTGAAATGTGGAAAAACAAATCTCTGTAGTACTTTTAGTGGGAAACAGAATGTTTTTGGCTAAAGTATTTGTCCTGGTGCACAGAGCAAACCACCACCGTGGTGCTTGGAGGTGAACATGCTCTGCTCCAAGCAGATTGATGTGTGATCCTCACGGGAAATGAGGTCTTGTTGCAAATAAAATCCCAAAAATGTGGCAGCTCAGTGATGAGGAGGATTAATATAATGTTGGGAGAGGCTGACACTCTGAATGTGTTTCTGGCAGGAGATTGCAGGGTAAGAGTTTTTGATCTCAGCTGCTCCTTCCCTTTTTATTTTGTGTTAGAGAAGAGCTGATTGCTTCATCCTGCTCTTTTCTCCTTGTTTTTTTTAACTGATAAACTCAGAATTTGGTGATGGGCTCAGTCAGGAGCCTGAGGACTTGCTGCCCAAGAGCCATCAGTTCCCCATTTTCCACTGATAGGAGTCTCCAGACATTCCTGCCTGCAGGAGGGGATTACAGAGCTCACTTCACAAAACCTACTTTTCCTCCTTTAACCTCTTTCAATTTATCTAAGTGAACAGCATTTAAAAAAAGCAATCAGCCATGACACACTTCTTCTGGGGGTTGTATTGAGCAATTCACCAGTGAGGATTTTTTGCATGTTAATGCAGGAGGGTATTAAATATAATGAAAGCTGAGGAGTGTGTGAAGTCTTTGCTGATAAAAATGCAGTCAGGTGAGGCTGAAATGAATTCAGGCTGAAAATACTTACAAATAATGCCTTGTAAGACCTTCCTAAATAGGATGCTTAGACGCAGGCAGAAATAATGAACAGGTGCAAAAATAGCCTGGTTGAAAGTGCTGTTATTTTTAGCATTGCTAATTATGGCATTGAGTTAATGATGTCTTGTTGGGATGGGTGGGGGAATCGCTGGAGCCAGGGGCTGGATGTGGAACCCAGCGGCGTCATTGGGAAGGTGTCTGGGTGCCAAGGGTCTGACGTGAGCTTGGGTGACCCAGTTTCAACCAAAATGCCATTTTTTTAAAGTAAGCCCTATGTGTCCAGGCAGCTTGAGCCATTCCTTGAGGAAAAATGGGGAAGTGGAGCAGGGCTGAAGGGTGGTGACTGAGCCCTGCTCAGCCTGAAGTGTCTGCAGAGGGAAAAATGGGGGATAGAAATTCTTGAAATGCTCAAAATGCTCCTGTTCCCAGCTGTGTTCACCATGGGGTACGAATGGCCACCCTGAATGGAGAAAAGAGAACGCTGAGGGGGAAATGGCAGCTCTGGGGGAGAAGGTCCTGTTATGAGGGGAAAGTGGGGACACTAAGGGAGAAATGATGACCCTCGGGGAAAAATGGTGGCCTTGAAGGAGGAGGGCTAAGCCTGAGGGGGAAATGGCGGCTCTGGGGAAGAAGGTCCTGCTGTGAGGGGGAAATGATGATCCTCGGGGAAAAGGTCCTGCTATGAGGGAGAAGTGGCCACACTGAGGGAGAAATTATGACCCTCAGGGAAAAATGGTGGGCTTGAAGGAGGAGGGACAACCCTAAGGGGGAAATGGCGGCTCTGAGAGAAGAATGAGAGCCCTGAAAGGGCAATGGCAGCCCTGAGAGAGGAAGGATAACCCTGAGCGGAAAATGGCGCCTGTGACGGACGGGGTGTTGCAGTGAGGGAGAAATGGCGGCCCCGCCGAGGGGCACGCAGCTCCCGAGGGCAAACAATAACAACCCTGAGGGTAAAATGTCGGAGCCCCGCGGCGGCTCCGTGAGCGGGTCACGGCCGGCCCGGAACGGCGCAGCCCCGGAACCCGCGAGCGGTTCCGCGGGGCCCGGGCGGGGCCTGAGCCGCGCGCACCGTCCCGGCGCCTTCCTGCGGCCGCCGCTCCCGCTCCGCCGCCCTGGCCCGGCCATGCCGCGCCTCCTCCTCCTCCTCATCTTCCTCCTCCTCGTCCCGCGCCTCGGCCGCGCCACCGCCCCCAGCCCGGGGAACAGCACGGAGCCGCCGCAGGCGGTCACACGGAACGAGACGCAGTCGGGAACGGAGCACGAGTCCGGGCCGAGGCTGTCGGTGGGGTCGGGGCTGCCGGTGCTGAGGCGCGCCGTGTATGTGCTGAGCGCTCTGTCGGCGCTGGCCGCCTTTTACTTCATGCTGCGGGCGTTCCGGTGAGTGCAAGGCGGGGACGGGGCTCTATCCGTGTTTTGTTGCTCCCGCTCCTGCTCTTGTCCCCATTCTGGTGTCCCCTGACCCGGGGCTGTGTCCCTGCTGGTCCCGGTTCCCGTTCCCGTTATCCCGGGCTGTGTCCCAGCTTGTCCCCGTTCCAGGGTTCTCTACCCTGCTAGTCCTGGTTCCCCCTGGTCGGGAATGTCACCCTGATTGTCCTTGTCCTGGACTCAGTCCCCTTTGCTTGTGGCGTTGTCCCGGTTGTCCCTTCATGTCCCGGTCTTGCTTTGGGTCCCCCGAAGTTGGTCACCGTGTCCCTGTCCCATGCCTGCCCCGATTCCGCTCCTAATCCCTGGGTTTGTGCCCATTTTCCCTGAATCCCCCTCTCCCTCCGTCTGCCAGCCAGAGCTCTGCTTCCCCAGCGCATCCCTTTGGCAGCGAGTCCAAAGCGTCGCTGTAAATCCCTCACACTGTTAATTACCCGAGGTAATTAGCGCTAAACCATCTCCGCTAAAGCCACCCGCTGGGTGGGGACAGCGGCTCACTCACTGCGCTCTCCGTGTCGCTCAGCCCCAGGTCCGAGGGCCCCAGAAACGAGCCCAAAACTCATTTCAGGTTGAAGAAACCCCAGAGGAAGAAGTACGGGCTGCTGTCGAGCCAGGACGAGAACATCGAGCTGGGCTCCCTCGACAGCGACGAGGACACCGTGTTTGAAAGCCGGAACCTGAGGCGGTGAGGGAGCATTTTGTGTGGTTTTTGCGTTGCTCTTTTCCTCACAAGGGGCTGAGGCTCCTTTCCCAAAGCTGTGGGAGCTCTGGCACAGCTCCTACAACCAGATCTGCATAAATTAAAACGCCTGTGTGTGGTCTCTGTGTTGGCACACGGATTTATCTCACTTTTCCTCGTTTTCTGGCCCAGGGAAGTCTCACTGGCAGGGTTATTTGTGGGGTTATAGAGCTGTTGGGAGAGCCCCTGTGCCCAGTCTGGGCCTCCCTGTGTTAGACAGAGAAACAAAAATTCCTGTTTCTTTTTTCCTTCAGCTTAGGAATTGCTTCCAACTCATATCACACTTCAAACTCCCAGTCCCATCAGGATATGCATTCCCGTTTTACCAGCAAAATTCCTGGTTTGTTTTGGGTTTTCTTTTTTTCACTTTGGGAATTGCTTCCAACTCATATCACAGTTCAAACTCCCAGTCCCATCAGGATATGCATTCCTGTTTTCCCAGCAAAATTCCTGGTTTGTTTTGGGTTTTCTTTTTTCATTTTGGGAATTGCTTCCAACTCATATCACAGTTCAAAATCCCAGTCTCACAGGGATATCCATTCCTGCTTTCCCAGCATTGTGTTCACATCCCAAAGTTTGATTTCTGGGGAGGTTGTTTTAAGCTGAGGAGGAATG